TTATTCAAGAAATTGTTTTCTATTTTCGCCCCTAGTTAAGCTAACGAAAATATCCAATCGGCAGGCCTTAGTAACCGTGGTTATATACATATTAATATATTATCTACCTATATTTTAATTATTATTATTACATAGATTATTATACTCACCTGAATGACGTTTTATAACATTTATGTATAGGTACTTATTGTGTATAGGTTAGGTATCTTATATATACATATACGTCCATACACCACATCCCTGAGCTCACAACCACCATCGTTTGAAATTGACCACGATACAAGACATTAATTTACAAATTACATTTATACATCTTATTAACTATATCGGTGTCTGGTTTCTAAGGTTGGGTTAATCTACAACACAAGTTGACAGTTAAACAGACATTTTATCAAATCACTGCAGATAGAAGATGACATATACATTATAAATGTTAAGCCCAAAAATATAGTTTACGTGCACCACTGATTTGAATTACGTATTTACCAGTAATTATATGATAAATGTATTATTGTATTATACTAGGTATTAGGTATGTATATAAATACAATAAAATTWTTTTYATACCAGAAAAAAAAATCGTCAACACAAAATTACAAAAACAATTTTTGCGTATAATATAATTGGTGAAAACAATCACGTCTTGTTAGTAGCTGGTAATATAGCCATTATTAAAAATTAAAATACGATTTTCTTCGGGACTGGTAAGTCGTATCTGATAAATATAGCATAAATGCACGTGTTTAATGTATTTCGAGAACGAAAACAAAATATTTTGATGCGTGTCCACGACTCGAACGAGCAATTTTTAAATAAATAATAACAGTAGTCTTAATTGTAATGTTGTTTATGAAATCAGAAATAGCAATACACAAATATAAATACTAAATATATATTTATAAGCAGCTAAGTAAGTTAATATATGTATAATTATTTTATTTACTAAACGGTTTAGAAATTATATAATATATAACAATTMATTTTACCCATAGGTATAAGGTATATAATATGAWCATATAAATCGTAAAATATACATAATACGAACTATGATTTAATACGGCTAAAGAAATACTTCTTTACACGCATCAACGTTTTTGATTAAATCTTTACTCATTAAGTATGATTGAAAATCATAAAAATCAAATTTCAGTGTTTTGGATTTAAAACATTTACTTTACATTATAGGTACCAAACATCTAAACCTCTAAATTTATAAGTTACAACCGATAAAACAACTGATACAGTGATACCTAATAAATATATAATGTACACGTAGGTATGTTGTGTGTTTCAGATGTTTCAAGGTTTCAACTTAAATATTAGTACCTACCTACCTAACTAATACAATAAATCGCAGTCGGAAGATTTTAGATTTAAATTGGAATTTTTTATGAAGATAGAGAATACTAAATGCGCAATAATCCTGTTTTTGTTTAAATGGCAGCACATACTTTATTATTGTTATCAATTATCATTATATTTAATAAGATCATCAAAGATGTTTGAAAAAATTAGGCTTATTTGAATTTGGTGAGAACAATATTCAAGCAAACACATATAAATTGTATTTCTTATAGGTATTTCTTATAGTACCGTTTCCTAAAATTGGAAATGAATATTAGAACCCACGACTGTAGCGCTATTCAGTTTAAAATAAACGTCATTGACTATAGGTCTGTGTGTCTGAATGTCTGATAGCACTGTTCCAATATAAAGGTACAACGAAGAAGACTTGAAATAATAATATTAAACTCGAGTTTTCAAGTAGGAAACACTTTTATAAAATTAAAACAATTAACAAATCCATATTGCCTAGCCCGTACTACGGTCGCCATTTCACACTTACCTATTGCAATCGTCGTACCCTATCCGATTCTAATAATATGATTTCTAATCTATAGTTCTATACCTGTCCTATATAATTCTAACCGAGAATCACTCAGCGATGACGGGACTGCCCGCGCCCGTATGTCCGGCGACGTTATATAGGAAATATTTATGCTACTTCAGCATATATCTATAGCTTCACTGACCTATGTTAATAAATAATAATTTACAATTCAAATTACATAGGTATATATAATAATATTATTTTGACGACTGTCTACAATATACGACACATGTCGGACATGTGTACACGAGAAAGGTATAAATTGACCCAAAATGTGAATTTTAATATCTTTTTCGAAAACTTAAATTTTTGATCAAGATCATCTGACTGAAATATTTTGTGTTAGGTATTTAAGTGGAACACATACTGCATGTATTSAGTATATGAGACATTATAGTGCTTGAAGTTAGTTTTCCAAAAATTTCAAAATAGAAATATTATAATATAATATATTTTATATTATAAAATTATGTCTTATACACACATACCTACACAATATAGATATCCACCTAAGTACTAAAGGCTAATACCAACTATAAATTATAATCATTAATCATACTTCAATCCATATAATTATAAACCGGTGGTCTACATAATATGTGGTAAATTATAATAAGGTCGAAGACCTTTCTCGACATCGGAGTTGGCCGAGTACTGTCTTATTCTGTACACAAGTGTCCGTATTGTAAGTACAAATAGTAAGTATAAATAAATACGAATACATTAATTATCACTATAAGAGTTTTATAACACACGAATAAAAGTAAAACTGCATAATAAACGGTGACTTATTTATGATATTTAAACATTTKCCAGTTTACCTTATATTTATCAAAAATCGAAATATGACAAAATCATATTTCAATACCCTTATTACATTTGCACCAACCTAATACCTTATGGCTTATAATATATAATCATAATTAGTAGGTTACCGTCGTAACCGAATAAATATATAGGAGAGTTTAATGTTAAAAAACAAATTTGGATGGTACTTCCAAATTTCCAAGATTTAAAATTATAAACTATAACATTATGCATATCGAAAGCAGGGTAATAAAATAGCCAATAGAAAAGTATATCAGTAACATAATATCATGACACACATATGAGTATAATAAGTATAGYATGTTCCACAATGCAGAGAAAAATATTTATTTTGGACTGGGGCTATTCTATCATGGTATAATAATCATTTGTTACAATGTTACTCGTAACATTTAGAAGTTCTAAAAAAAGTAACTTTGAACTATAAACTTAATTTACATTTTAGATTTTGAGCAAAGCGATGAATATATTGAT